CCTCCCTCCCACACCCCTATCTCTCTCTCTCTCTCTCGAGTTCACGAGGACCTAAAAACATTAACTGCCCCCTACTCATACATGCGGAAGTCGTTATCATATTATTAACATTTGGGTGCTAGTCCATTTCCTTGATTCTCATCTCGCTGACATACCAGCCCAGAAGGTTAATGAGTGCTATCTCGCCTCGACACGGTTCAAACTGTGGGTGGTTGGCGGGTGTTCTGGTGTGGTTTGCTCCTTCTTTCCTATCAAAAGCTATCGTCCTTCGCCCCCTTCCTTCTTTTCTGTGTTTGTTACTCTCTTGTAACACCTTTGGGTGGTTTGCGGGTGCTCCGATGTGGTTTGCTCCTTCTATTCTATCAAACATCTGTCGTCCTTCTCTCTCCTCCTCCTTGTTTGCGTTTGTTACCCTCTTGTAACACCTCTATTCTTCGACACTTATGCGACCTTATTGTGTTGCAAGTGCCGTAAAACTCTTACTAAAACTAAACGGTTCACACCCCTCGGAGACATGCACCATCCACCCTTCAAATCTGTGGTTGGCGGGTGCTCCGATGTGATTTGCTGTTTTGTACTTTGCTATCAAACATTTATCATTCTTATTTCTCCTCCTTCTTTTCTATGTGTATGTTACTCTCAAGTAGTACCTTTGATAATCGACACTTACTGATCTATTTGTGTTATAAGTGCCTTAAAACTATCTCCTAAGGTGGGTGGTTGGCGGGTGTTCTGGTATGATTTGCTCTTTCTTACCTTCCTATCTAACATCTATCATCCTTATCCCTCCTCGTTCTTTTCTCTGTATGTTACTCTCTAGTAACACCTTTAATATTCGGTACTCAATGACCTATTTGTGTTACAAATGCCGTTATAGATAGCATTTGTATAGCGCAAATACAGTACCCGCTCAACAGCAAGCTCTATGCGCTTCACAATCTATACTATTACCCCAGTAGACCTGAGAGCATTCTGAAACGAACTCAACTTCCTGGGAATCATACAGTGCAAACTGCCATTTATGGGCGCTAAAACACTAACAAACAAACTGTGGGTGGTTTGCGGATGCTCTGGTGTGGTTTGCCCCTTCTTTCCTGTCAAAAACTCTTGTCCGTCTCTCTCCTCCTCCCTTACTCTCTTGTAACACCTCTAATCTTCCGCACTTACATGACCTTTTTTTTTGGTTAGTACGGGGTTTTACGGCGCTCGCAACTGCATAAGGTCATATGAGTGCGCCATGACTTTATTGTGTTGCAAGTGCCGTAAAACACTTACTAAAATTAAAATTAAAGACCTGAGAGCATTCTGAAACAAACTCAACTTCCTGGGAAGCATACAGTGCAAGCTGCCGTTTATGGGTGCTAAATACTAACATACAAACAAACGAACAAACAAACCATCCAACCAACCATCCATCCATCCGACCAACCAACCAACTGACCAGCCAACCAACCAACCAACCAACCAACCAACCAACCAACCAACCAACCAACCAACCAACCAACCATCCATCCATCCATCCATCCATCCATCCGACCAACCAACCAACTGACCAACCAACCAACCAACCAACCAACCAACTGACCAACCAACCAACCAACCAACCATCCATCCATCCATCCGACCAACCAACCAACGAACCAACCAACCAACCAACCAACCGACCGACCAACCAACCAAACCAACCAACCAACCAACCAACCAACCAACAAACAAACAAACAAACAAACGAACCAATAAACAAACAAAGTGACGGTTTGGTGTTTTGTTCCCCCTCTCCTCCTCTCCCCCCCCCTTCCCCCCGTCCTCAGTTGACCGAGACATCGATGACTGCTGGAGCGACCCGTGCCAACACGGGGGTACCTGTGTGGATGAGATCAACTCTTACACCTGTCGGTGTCCGCCAAACTACAACGGCACACAGTGCGAGAGAGAGAGAGAGAGAGAGAGAGAGAGAGAGAGAGAGAGAGAGAGAGAGGGAGTGAGAGAGAGAGAGAGAAAGAGAGAGCCCGCTTCACATGAATGTCTCACTCACTCATTCAATCAGTCACTCAATCACACATTCACTCACTCCCTCACACACTCATTCACTCTCTCACTCACTCATTCACTTACTCACTCACTCACTCACTCACCCAGTCACTCACTCACTCACTTTTTCCCTCACTCGCTCACTTACTCATTCATTCACTCACACACTCATACACTCATTCAGTCAATCACTCACTCACCCATCCACCAACCCAGTCACTCACTTTTTCCCTCACTCGCTCACTTACTCATTCATTCACTCACACACTCATACACTCATTCAGTCAATCACTCACTCACCCATCCACCAACCCAGTCACTCACTTTTTCCCTCACTCGCTCACTTACTCATTCATTCACTCACTCACTCATTCACTTATTCAGTCAATAACTCATTCACCCATCCACCAACCCAGTCACTCACTCACTCACTCACTCACTCACTCACTCACTTACTTATTCATTTACTCACTCACTCACTTACTCACCCACCCACTCACACCCCCCCTCACCCA